TGGGGCGGCCGTTGGGGCGGGGCTCCTCCCCGCCGCCCGGCGCCGCCATGAAGGCCGTCGTGCAGCGGGTGGCCCAGGCCAGCGTCACGGGTGAGCGCGGGCCCTGCTCCTTGTCCCGGCTCCGCCGCCTGTCCGCCCGGAGCGGAGCGGGGCCGCGCGGCGCCTTCAAGGGGCGGCGGGCGGCGCCTCGGGGCCGTGCGGAGGGTCCCCGCTCTGCGGAGCGCCCGTTCCTCATGCAGCTTTGGGCCTCGCTTTACTAGGCACAGAACGGGAACCGGGGTGCGGGTTTAACAGATCTTGCCTCACCCTTAAGGCCTCTTCGGGCTACCTTAAAGCGCAGAAGGAAGCTCTGGGGTGGTGTTTCCCATGGGGTGGCGTTTKTTTCCCGTGGGATGTGTTCCCCGTGGTGCTGCTGTCCAAAACCAGCCCTTAGTCTTGCGGTATTTAATGATGTTGTCGCCTCTTTCTGCTTTTTCTCGCTGCCCTCCTCAGTGGGTGGCGAACAGATCAGCTCCATAGGACGCGGGCTCTGTGTGCTGCTGGGCATCTCCTTGGAAGACACGCAGCGGGAGCTGGAGCACATGTAAGTCATGCACGTCCTCTTGCCTTTTACTCCTTGTTTATGCTTTTTGAGCGCTGGATTGGTGACAACGGAGCTGCAGCCCGAGTAGTGGAGSGTTCCTTGTGTGGGGAAAGCCATGTCTGCCTCTTGTTAAGGYTTCTTCAGATGATACTTTGAATGCTGGCATCTCAGAGGTTTCTTTTTATGTCCTGCTAAGAAAGTCTGTCCTCCTTTCCCTCTTCACACTCCTTTCTGTGTTGTTTTTGCCAAGAAGAGAATCAACACGCTGGATTTTTACTGATACCCTTTCTAAAATGCCCATCCCTTTTWCTAAGCGTCCTCCCTAGCTTTACTAAGAGGCTTGGCAAGAATCCTCCCATCTAGTACATGATATTTCAGAAACCTCACACTCTTGGTTTAGTTCACATGTGAAAACTTTTCTTCTTCTGGAAAGCTGGATAATCACATCATTTGCTTTTCTCTAAAGATGAACCCGTTTGGGCAGCTTGGAGGACTTTGGCCGTCCCTTTCTCGGCCGTGAAATGCCGTGATTCAGCCAGCAAACCCGTGCAAAAGAAAGACATCCCCCTGTGATTGTCCCTTCTCACCCCTTTTGGCTGTTGGTTTTGCTGGGGCTGCTCTCRGCTTTTTAGGAAGGTGAAGAAAGAACAAGTAACGGAGCTAAACTGTGTCAAGAAGAGGAACAGCTCAAGCAGGGAAGAGAGAGGAATGTGACCGAGGGTGAAAACAACTCCTAGCAGAAATTGGAAGARAAAGTAGTGAGTGGAGATGAGCCTTAGGTCCAGCTGTAGGTGTCATTTGAACAGCTGAAACTTGTAGAAAACAGCAGCAAATCTGAGGCTGTTCTTCCTTACAACACTCTGGTGATTTGCTGTCCTGTTTTGCTTTCAGATGTGTGACATTTGCTTAATCATCGTTTCTTGTCCTGCCTTGATGAGTGTGAAACTGCTCCTGATGATTGCGAGTGGGTGATCATTAACTCTTGTACTGTCAGCACCAGGCTTTTGGGATGATGGACACTGGGAAGGCAGGAATCTCATACCTAATAGCAGGAGACTTGCTAAGTTTAAACTCTACTAGGAATTCTGATGCCGCCTGTAGGTCTGCACTCTGCCCTGCCTTCCCCACACTTCTTTTGGGAAAGAAATACTATCTGTGTCTAGGTTGTGGGGTCTCGTTTGGGAGAGCACCAGGAGTGACAGAGCTGGAGGAGCATATGGGAGCGATGGTCAGAAACAACTGCAGTTCAGACTGTTCTGAGCCCAAAACTGAGTGTGATTTGCCAGGACTARGGGATGGTTTCATTCCCTAAAGCTAATACACGTGATCTCATGCTCTATTAAAAAGATGCTTAAAAGAAGACATTAGTGAATGGTCTGACAATGTTATATATGTGCACAAGAGCTTTCTTGCTAACAGCTCTGCCTAATGCAGGGAGATTTTTGTGAGGAAAGAATGGGATATCTTCAGATTTGTAGGCAGAATGAATACGGATTTGCCTTCCCTTGCAGGTCTTTCTGTGTGATAGGCGTTACTTGTACCCAGTGAGCTGGCACAGGACAACTTAAAACTATTTGTTTTCCTTCTAGGGTCCGAAAGATCTTAAACTTGCGAGTATTTGAAGATGAAAGTGGGAAGCACTGGTCCAAAAGTGTGATGGACAAGCAGTATGAAGTGTTGTGTGTCAGCCAGTTCACTCTGCAGTGCATCCTGAAAGGGAATAAGCCTGACTACCACATGGCGATGCCCACAGAGCAGGCGGAGTGTTTTTACAACAACTTCTTAGAGCAGCTAAGAAAGGCCTACAAGCCAGAGCTTGTTAAAGGTAAGGGAGAAGGGTAAGGTCCTTGATGCAACCAGAGGGCCTCGTTTACATGTGTTCCTCCTTGCCCATCTTGTGTTCTGTGCATTTCTGTCAGTCCACACGACAAAGGTGCCGTTGCAGGTGGCAGAGCGCAAGGACACGAGGCCTCTGTCCCAGCAGCCTTGCTGGGGAGATCGGTGTCCCCTTCACCTGCACAGCCTGAGCGGTGATTCTGACCCTGCAACCCTGAGGATTCATCTGTGAAGGGTTCATCCCAAGCTGGGGCTGGGATCATCCCAGCCTGGGGCTGTGCTGCTCCGCTGGCCCAGGGTCAGCTGCTGATCCATGAATCAAGAAGTCTTAAAATGGGCAAAGTTACTTACTGTATCTAAGACCATTGTGGTTTAAAAATCAGGAGAAGGAATGTTACTTGGGGATAAGGTGTCTCCTGTGGACAATATCGGATCATTGTAGTAACCTACCCGAAGTTGCCAGGAAAACAAGTAACATCCCAGGAGTGTGGATTCTTTTTCCTCTTCTCCTTTTGGCTAAAAAGATGAAAATCAGTCCAGATAGTGGTAATTTGGCTTTGGGACAGACATGTGGGATTGACTCTTCAGTTTCTGTGCAGAGGAGAGATTAGTCTGCATCAGAGTTTCAGGAGTTGCATCCACAGGCAGTGTAATCTCTCTTCTACCTTGCCCTTCATGTTGTGGAGTCCAAAGACACGGAGATCTTTCTTTCAGAAGAGGAATTGGATATAGAGAAGGACAGCACTAACAAACGCTTCTAGCTTTAAATGCTATTTCCATTAGATTTTAGTTTCTCAACTAAATTTTAGTTTCTCAACTTTAGTTTAGATTTTCTGCTCTGCCTTGGTTACACCTTGGAATCTTGCCTGYTTTACATCATTTTTGTCGCCTACGTTTTCTGTTATCTTCTGCTATTTAGTAACTCTTRTTTTCATCTGCACTGTTAGCTAGTAATCGGAATATACGGAACCTTTCACAGAATAGTGATAGTGCYGTGGGGTCTCTATCTGAACGGTAAGTCAAGGTCAATACTGCTTAGAAAAGCTGCATCTGTTGACAGCTCCTCACTAACAGTTTTCCCCAGGTTTTTATTTTAAGAGAAATTTGGCACATTGTTTTTGTGCCAGGTGCATCTGTGTCGCCAAAGGGCACCAGCTTCACTGCATCTGACAGCTCTGACAGCTTCCTGATGAGCCTTTCTTTGACGTCTTCATAGCGTCGGTGGTCCCGTCCCTCCCAGAGTTTACTTGCCCGTGGTGGAGCTGGTAGGTAGGAAGATATCTTTTTTTCCTGCTGGTGTCATTTTCCTTTTGCTTGGCTGCTGGACCATTGGCAGCAGTCTCTTCTGCAGTTTTGTAGT